GCCCAGCGCAGCCGTTTGGCAAGAAGTGCAAGGATGCTTGAGGAAAAACTATTTTTCAAAAACAAACATACCAGGGGCCCAGGAGAGCAAAGTGCTTGCTTGGACTCCCCTTACCAAGGCAAGGGTCGGGCGCTTGCCTTGAATGCAGATGACTCAGGTTTGATCCCCAGAACCCCTCGTGGTTCCCTGTGCATTGCTGGACTTGCCACCCCCACCCAAACCCACCCCCCTCCCCGCCCCATATACACACACAAAGTCTTAATGCTCCTCATTCTGCTGCCAGAGCCAGGGTAAGGGGAGGAGGGGCTGCCCAGGGGGCCGGGGCTGGGGGGTTGGACTGGGGGGTCCTGGACTCAGCCCGAAGCAGCCTGAAGCAGCCATGGAGGAAGAGAGGGAGGGAGAGTCTCGGAGTGTGTCTGACTCCAGCTCCGCTGGGGCTGAGGATCTCAGGGTATCCCAGCCGTCCTTCCAGCCTTCCCGGTATTTACAGAGTCCTGTCTGTGCAGGAACTGGGGCGGGGGCCATCTGGTGCCCCTCACGCCCCAAGTGGGGTAATGCCACTGTACAGATGAGGAAGCTGAGGCCAGGCTTCCCTGAGGCCTGGCACGCCCTGTTACCTTGTCACCATCCCTAGGGCAGTGAAACACTGCAGCCTCTGGGTCTGAGTGAGTGAGTGAGCTACGGCATCTCTGGCCCCACCCTGCAGGGCCCCAGGGCAGGCGGGGGGGGGGGGGGGGGGGTGGAGTGGTACTCCAGTGACCAATGACGGAGACCCTTTGCCTGGGTCTGTGTCCAGAGATCCTAGCCTAGGGTGGAGGACGGAGGGACTTGGCAGGGGCTCCCCTCAGACTCAACCCTGCCTCCAAGCCACACAGCAACCACCTCTGCAAACACAGTGCAAACCAGGACCTAGAGATGAGAATCTGCTCAACCCACCCCACCCCACCCCCAGTGGGAGGGGAGGCACCAGTCTGGACTTCTGCCCCCACCCCCGGCAGCTCTGGGGTGAGGGTCTCCATGAGGCCCTGCAGATACTGTAGCACTCAGTTGAGGAGGGGCTTGAGCCTGGGGGGAGGTCAAGTCTAAGGGGAGTGAGTGTCAAGCCCACAGGAGCGCCATGTGGTCCTGGCTGGCTCTGCCCTCTGCCTTCTGCTGGGGCTTGCGGATGGAGCATCACCTGCCCAGTGGCCAGCCCAGCGACCCCCCCCCCCCCCCCGCACCTGGGAACTGTTTGATGCGGCCCTCAGGGTTCCCAGGGAAGCACTGGCTTTCCCCCCTGCCCCCTGGATCTGAAGGTGGCTATGGCCCTGTCCACGGACAGGCAGGGCTGGGGGTGGAGGGATGCAGAGTGAGGATCTCCCAGCTCGGGAAGAAGCACAGGAAGTAGAACAGGAGAGGTGGAGGGTAGGAGCTCAGGGGCCAGGGAGATGGTAGCTTTCCTTCTTGGGTAGGGTCCCTGTTCCTGAGTGCAGAACCAGGAATAATTCCTGATCATCACAGGCTGGCCCAAAAGCAAATGAACCAAATAAATAAATACACAAATAAATTTTAAAAATTGGATAAATGTATGTTTGGGAGAGGAGAGTCGCCTAGAGCCTAGAGAGGGGAGGAAGCTGGGAGGGAGCTCCTGGGATGTGGGGAATCAGAGGGTGAGGGGCGTCCAGACGCCCCACCCCTGCTCCGGAGTCCGGCCCAGCTCCCCAGCTCCCTCACAAACGTTTGAGCCCAAGTCCAGATCCCGGATCAGCCGGAGTGCTGCGACAGGGCACCGGGCAACACCACCTCGGGGCGCCACTGCAGCAGAGGCCGGGTTCGTCCCCACCCTCTCCACCCGCTCTGCGGTCCAGTGTCCAGCTGGGCTCTTCTCCCGAGCAGAGGCGGCAGGAGCACGGCGTCTGGTGCGGGACCACGCTCTCTGCCTAGGTGTATGAGGCCCGCAGTGGTGGGGACAAAGGCCGAGGAGCAGAAGATGGATGGGGATGGAAATGGGGGCCTGGGGCGTGGAGAGGGGAGGGGCGGGGGTCTCCGGTTTGGGTTTGTGTCCTGGCTAGTCCTTGAGCGAGTGGGGCCCTCCTGGCCTCCTCCGAATCCCGGGTGGGGTGTCCTGGCAGGAAAGTGCAGGGGCGCAGGGTGACTCCCCGCCACACTTGGAGGCGCCTAGGTCTTGCTGGTGCACCCGAAAAACGGCCCACATGTCCTCCTGCCCCAGACACAGCCTGGGCAGGCAGCCTTGGGCTCTGGCGCCTGGAGACCGGGACTTAGGCAGCCCCAGCTACTGGGGACCCCGTTCCCCAGGAAAGTGCGTGGAGAGGTGGGGAGCCAGAGACCGGGAAAGGGGGTGGAGAGCGGCTTGGGGGCGGTGGGGCAGGGCCTGTGACCCGTAGGATTCCAAAGCAAGTACTGGAGGGGAAGGCGAGGGTCGGGGCGGGCACCCTGGAGCCTACAGGCTGTCCCCGACCACGGGTGCAAACATGTCCCGCTGCCAGCAGAGGGCAGGATGCGCCCGGCCCGTCTGCCCGCCTGTCCGGCTCTGCACCTCGGGGCTGTGCGCGCTGATGCCCACGGCCCAGTTTCCAGCCGCAGCGCCCGCGCCCAGATGCCCGAGGAGACACCTGGGTGAACCTCGGGAGCTCAAGGCCTGAGTTTCCAGGCTCGTCTGGGGCAAGGGCACCAGGGGCACATGAGGGCAACTCTATTGCCACTCGTACACCCTTCTGGCTTACACACAAAGACGCCCAGAAATACAAGCAGACACAAAAGCCACTCACAGCCTCCCTCTCCAAGGCCCCCAAACTCTGAGCGACCCGCCAGCACACAGAACCCTTCAGAAACTTGGAGAGACTCCTATAGAAAGGTGACACACAGACAGAAAAAGGAGCCCAGACACAATACAGAGGCCGAGAGACACACAAAGACGGACGCACCGGCCGGGAGTGACAGACACAGGGACACACAAAGACCGACAAAAGCTGAAGCCACCGAGGCGTGGGAGGACGACGCGCCTGGTGACTATTGGACGCACGCCGGCAGGATGCGGGGATGGAGACCCAGGCTCCCTGGGAGCCCAGAAAGTCGCAGAGACGCGGGAATGTCGTGTGTGCCCAGGGACACGGGGACACACGCCCGCAAAAGCCCAGGAGGCGGGCTCGTGGTCACGCACGGACACGCACGGGTGCCCCCGCCACGCACACAGGTACTCGGCCGGGGCGGGAGCCGCTAATCCCCCCTCGAAGCCGGGCCCCTCCGCGGGGCCCCGCGGCACAGGGGGCCACTTCTGACCGAGCCCCCTGCCGCCTCCAAATCCGATCCGCCCTTTCGCCTCCAGCGGGGTCAGGGGACCCGCCTCCCGTGCCCTCCACCCCCGCCCGGCTCCGCGCCACTGCCCAGCGCCGGGAGGGGCTGCGGCCGCCCCGCCGCGCCTGCCCCGCGGCCGCAGCGACCCCCGCCCCCCGCTCTCGGGCCTCCGTGGGGACCCGGGGACCCCGCCCCAGAGCCTGCCGGGACCGAGCTCCTCGCGCCCCGACGCAGCGGCTTGCGCAACACCGCGCGCCAGTGCCAGGCCAGGTGGGCGCCAGGCCCGGCGGGGTCTGAAAAGTGGCCGATCCGCATCGCGAAGCCGGGGAGCGCCCCCGCCCCGGACCAAGGCCCACTTCGCCTCGCGGGTGCTGCCCCTGCCCGGCGCGGCCTCCCGACCCCGAGCCTTCGATGGCCAAAATCGACTTCGATGACCGAAAAAAGTCACCCGTCCTAGAGGGCGATCGGGTCTCCTCGGAGCTGTCGGACGCAGCCCGTCCCGGGGCTCGGCGGCCTCCGACCGACCGGGGGGCCTCCACGCCCTGCGCGCGCTCCTCACCACCCCGAGCCCCGTGGAGTCAGATCGCCCCCGGCACCCCGAGCCCCGCCCGGGGACCCCTTTCCTTACACTCCCCGTGGCCTGTCCTTCCTCGCCGCGGCCGCGCGGCTCCCATCCTCGCCCGGCACCGCTCCGGGATCCTCGCTCCCCGCCTCCAGCCGAGCTCAGCCAGGCCTGACGTGGTCCCGGGTCCCTCCCTTCCAGGCCGGGGCCCACACCCCCTCTCCTGGGGCCGCGGCCGGTGGCGGTGGGAGGGCGCACGGAGAGTGCGGGGCCAGCAGCCCGCCCCTCCGGCCGCCCCGTCTCCATCCCTCCATCCCCGCGGACCACCGACCCGGGGAGCGGGGCGTCGGGGCGGGAGGCTTGGCAGCGCCGCCGGGCGGGGGGGCGCCCCGCGGCTGGCCCGCGCGACCTACCTCGGCCGCCAGTCGGGGGTCCCCGGGGCCGCCGTCCGCGCCGCGCGGCGGCTGGACACGATACTGATCCACGAGCGGGCACGGAAGGGGATCGCCAGCTCGGTGCCCCGCGCCCCGGCGCGGGCTGCGCGGGCTGCGCGGGGCCGGGCGGCGGGCTGTCGCTCGCGGGCCGCCCCCGAACTTGGGCGGCTGGCCGGCGGGGGCTGCCGGGCCGGGGGCGCGGGGAGCGCTCCCGCGGGGGGCGGGGGGGCGGCCGCCGCACTATTTGACGCGGCGCCGCCGGCTCATCCCGGCGCAGGGATACGAGGCGCGCCAATGAGTTCAAATGTCAGGAAGTTTGAGGAGGGGTGAGGCGGCTCCCGGCCGGAGTATCCCTCCGCCGCCCGCCCCGGCTCTAAACCCGGCGGCTCCCGGGGCGCACCATGGCACTGGAGTAGCGCGGGGAGCGCGCCCGGAGCCCCGCGGCCCGCTGCGCCCCGCCCGGGACCCCGCCGCGCCGCCCGCGCGCGCCCTGCCCCCCCACCCGCCGCCCGCGGGGCCGCCCCTGCACCCCCGCCCCCTCCCCGCGCCGCCGCCGCCGCCGCCGCCGCCGCCGCCGCCGCCCCGCGGCTCCGCCGGCCGCGCCGCCCGGGCTCGGGGCTGACAAGCAGGTGACAGAGGCGCGAGCGGCCGGCCGAGCGCCGCGCCGGGGCCCGGGGTCCGCGCGCCGCCGCTCCCCGCGCGCCCCGGCCGCACCGCATCCCCGGCGGGCGGGCGGGCGGCGGCCGAGCACCCTGGCCGGCGGGGCCCGCGGCGCGCCCCGCGCCCCATGGATATAGCAACAGGTCCCGAGGCGCTGGAGAGGTGCTTCCCCCGCGCCCAGACGGACTGCGCCAAGATGCTGGACGGCATCAAGATGGAGGAGCACGCCCTGCGCCCCGGGCCCGCCACGCTCGGGGTGCTGCTGGGTGAGCGCGGGCGCGGGCCGGGGGTGCGGGGCGCGGGGGCGCGGCGGGGAGGAGGACGCACGCCGGCCCCCCGGGGTGGTCAGCGGCGGGCGCGGGCACCCCCGACACCCGAGCCCTCGGAGGGGACCAGGGGCTCCCGCTGGGAGGACGGGGCCAGGACGGATCCCGGTCAAGCTCACCGTCCTCCTCGGACCTCGGGCAGACCGAGGGAGGCGGCGGCGCGCGGACCCAGGGCCCCAGCGGTCACCTTGTCAGGCTCCTTAGCCAGGTCACTGGGGGCTGTGGGGGGGAAGGAAGCTTCCAAGAGAAAAAAATTTGTCCCTGGGCTCCCCCGAACCCCAGATTTGGGGGAGACTGGGCTAGAAGACCTCGGAGGCCTCCGCGGGGCGTGACAGCGAGCCCGCGCCCCAGCCGCCCCGCGCTCCCCGGGCATCCGCGCCGAGCGCCCCGGCGCCGGGTCGCCCCCAGCCCCGCCAGGGAGAGCGCCGCGCAGGCCCGCCGCCGCTCCGCGGGCCGGCTGGGGCGGGGGCGCGCGGCCGTCGGACCCCCGGGCCGGCCGCACGGGCGCTGACAGCGGGTCTCGCCCCGTGCGCCGCAGGCTCCGACTGCCCGCATCCCGCGGTGTGCGAGGGCTGCCAGCGACCCATCTCCGACCGCTTCCTGATGCGAGTCAACGAGTCCTCCTGGCACGAGGAGTGTTTGCAGTGCGCGGCGTGTCAGCAAGCCCTCACCACCAGCTGCTACTTCCGGGATCGGAAACTCTACTGCAAACAAGACTACCAACAGTAAGCCCCGCGCCCGGCCCCGCGCCCGGCCCCGCGCCCCGCTGCCAGCGCCGCCGCCGCCGCCGCCGCCGTAGCCGCCGCCGCCGCCGCCGCGCGTCCGCTCCGCGCGCTCCGACGCCCGCCGGCTGCGCGCCAGCCGCTCCCGGCCGGGGCGAACCGACCCTGGTGGGGCGCCCCGACCTGCCGCGCTCAACCGGGCGCGGGGTCGCCGATTGAGGGGGCGGGGGCGGGAGGAGGTGTGTGCGTCTAAGGCCGGCCAGGCACTGGGGTCGCAGAGGCAGGGCCTGACCCCAGGGGAGGAGGCCTGCAATGGAACCAGAGATTTGATTTTGAAGGGCAGGCAGGGCTTTCCGTGGGCCCAGGCCCTGCTTGGCGTGTGCTTTTCCAGGTGGGTTTGGGGGGACAGCTTGGGGTCCTCCTGGGAGCCAGGAGGCAGAGTGTGACACCCCTTCCTGCCAGGATCGCGGTGTCACTCCAGTTCCCGTGCAGAGACAAGGGAGCCCACCGGGGGTACAACATGCTATGGGAGAATGTGGCCCTTCCAGCTTTTGTGGCTGGAGATGCTGTTCATTCAGGAAGAGGACCCCGAGAGATGGCAGACCAGTGTGGGACCCCCCTGGGCTGGGAGCCAAGCCAGCCTTCTCCAGGCCTCTCTCTCTCTGTGTTAGTTAGGATGGGGGTGGCCTGCTGAGCCCCACGGCTCTTCTTTTTTCGGGCCTAGTTCAGAGCTCCTGGGTCCTGGCTGGCAAGGGCCTGGGACAGAGGAAAGTCGATAGAGGCTTTTTCCTTTCACCCTCTGCGTTCAGGGCTTGTCCGGGAGGTGCCTGGCGGGACTTGTGGTGGAGGGTCTTGAGAGTGGCATTTCCGAGACAAGCGGTGCCTGTGAGAACTTTCTGGCTAGGCTCTTGGATGGGGGTGGAGGGACTGGGGTCTGCTTAGAGAACTCGGGGAAGCTGGCATGGCCAGACGCCTTGGTGGTGGTGCCTGTGGCTCTGCTCTGCTCAGGACCCTCAACCCAGGTCCACCGCCCTGGCAGGATGCAGAGCCGCCGTGGGGGTGTCCTGTGGCCACCCTTCCACTTGGCTGAGGCCTGGAAGTGGTGGGCTGTAGAGCAGAGCCCCAGAGAGGGTCTGGGCTGAGCCCCTCACTAGCACCGAGCCTGGCAGGGCAGGCGCTGCTCTTTGCTGGCCCCATGGCGCGTCCACCTCTGTCTGGAGCCTCCCTGAGGCCTGTTGCCAGGAGCCGGGTTGGTGGGGTGCCCTGGACTAAAGTGACTCCTGTGGGCGGAGAAGGTGAGGCCCAGTCCCCTTCCCCGAAGGCTGGGGCAGAGTTGCACAAAGCAAGCGGGGAAGGAAGTTTGGGGTACGTGGGGCTGCGGATTGGGGGCAAGCCTGCCAGCAAACCGCAGGCAGGGCTCCTACATCTCAGAAGAGTCGTACCCCTCACCTTGCTTACCTCCGGGACAGAGCTCAGTGCTCACAGCACCCACCTGCACTCAACTCATCCCCTGGCCCGTCCCACTCATCCTTTGGGGACAGGAGGCCCTGAATGCGGGAAGAGGGGCCTCCATGTCTGCGCACAAGGGTGAGGGAATTTTTTTCTTCTTTTAAACGTATCGGGATGACTTTTTTCCAGCCTCTCACCAGTGCTGGTTCTCCCCCTCCACCCGGCAATGGTTTTGGGGCATCTCCGTAAACCGTGGAGAATGCCCTGGGTCCTTCAAAGCCCGGAGACTGGGAAGGAACCTCCAAACGTGAACAGGAGGTTCCTTCAGAGCAGAGAGGCCAACCCCCTCATTTTACAGAGAACAATGAAACGTTAGGGGTGGTTTTGTGGAAAGTGGATTTGCCTTACAAAGAAGTCTCTCTTGGAGAGCCGGCTTCTTCACACCACCGGGGGGCCGTTTGCAGTCGATTTTGGAGCTGGCGAGGGCCAAATCTCTGGGTGCTCTTCCCCGAATCTGGGGCGGCTGCTGCCGGCGGCATTATTCAGGCCACTCCCGCGCCCTCCTCCTCTGACACCCCTTTTTTCCCCCTACCACACCAATTAACTGTCCTCGCTCCCCTCGTTGGGGCATGGGGGCGGCTGGGGGCTGAGGCGGGGTTGTGGAGACAATCCTGGAAGCAAATACCCCGCTGGCTGGACGGCACCGTTTCTAAGGAAGCGCCCTCCGGCACAGCCAGGCTGGCGGGGGGCTCCGGGGGGGAAAGCGATGATCTTTTGCACAATAAAAAATATATTCCACGATTTATTTTTTTTCTTTGAAGATCGCAAATGCATATTTATTGCATCTGTGCCTAAATGCTTTTCAGACGAGAATCCAGGCGAGAGGGCGCGGAAACGTGCCTTCTAGATTTTGCGGAGTCTGCATCCGCGGTTTTGGGGAAAGAACAGTCTCCCCCCCCGCCCCTTTCGCAGCCCTCCAGCCCCCCGCCCCTCCACACACTCCCTTTAACTTTTGAAAAACGTGCTCTTTCGCACCGGGAATGGACTCGGGCCTTGGAAAGCGGTCCCTCTTTAAATTCAGGGTCTCTTCCTCCTTCCCACTGGGTCTCTAAGATCACCCAGACACCCAGAAGCTCGAGGTTGCTCTACGCACCACAGGGGTGATTCATGGCCATCTGGGGTGGGTGTGGGGAATCGTGTTGGATCAAGTCAGTCCGCACTTCCCGGAAGGGCCAAGACAGGGGCCGGGGCCACCGGGTATTTTCACGTGTCTTTTGAAAAAACGAAAAGCCTTTGCCCTTCCCCGCCCTCGGGTGGGAGGGGGGGACGACTTCTTATTCAAAAAACAAATAAAAACAAAGGCCCTCGTCACTCTCCCTGCCGAGCCCCGCGGCAGCCGAGCGCCTTCTACGGGGTTAGACTCCCACGGGGCAGACTGGAGCCCCCAAGGCCCGGATCTCTTCCCCTCTTCCCCAGGAACCAAGGGGGGAGTTTGATGGCATCACGCAATCTTCGTTTTCTGCCGTCCCCACCGGCGAATCGGGACCGTGGAATTATGTAACTCTTGCCTGCCGTCCGTCTCTCTCGCTCGCTTGTCTGGAAGGGGTTTCTCTCCTGGAGGGGGCTCCCGAAGGTGTTGAGGGCTGGTGGGGGCGCCCCCAAATGTCGCAAAATGGTGTCCTGTAGCCTGTGAGACCGCTCCGGGCTGCCCATCGACTGTCCTCAGGGTGCAGGGAGGCTGCCGCCCGCCCGAGACCGGCTGGCGCCCCCCTCCCCCCTCGCCAGTCGGCCTGGCCTGTAGAACTAGGAGCTGCCCAGGGTCCCCTTGGGCTGCCAGCCCCCGTCAGTGCCCTCACCTCCAGGAGCCACGGGAAGCCAAGTTCTGCATTTCTGGCTGTCTTTGGCGTGGATTTTTTAAAAAAATAATTGTTGTTGTTTGTTTCGAATTTACTCCATCTGGCAAAAGCTTCTGGGAGACCCAAGGCCGCTTCCCGACATGTTCTCTTCCTGGGGCATGGTCCCTCAGAGGTCTTCCTGGGAGCTTCCTCTCTGGGGTCCGGGCCACCCCCAGGAGCAAGGGTGGGTGGGAGGCCTGGAACCTCCTGTCCCGGGTTTTCTCCCTTCTCCGGGGGATCTGTGGCAGCAGCACCCCTCCACCCAGGGGCACCCCAGCCTTCCAGCTAATGCAGAGCTGCTCATGCCCCGGCCAGTGGCCTGCCTAGGAAGGAAGGGCACTGCCCGGGCGGTGGACACTCAGCCCGTGACTAGGCCGCAGGCAGCCTCTCCCCAGGGACGAGGGTGAAGGGCTCACTCTGCCAGCCCAGGGTTGGGGACCACGTGCCCCCCAGGAGGGCACTCCTCCATTTAACCCCAGCACCTCGGCTGCGGCGGAAGGGTAAGCCGGGGCCTTCCTGAAGCCGCGTCCGTCCGCCTCTGAACGGAGCCATTATTCACAGCTGACTCCTGGCTCACCCTCTATTCCCCAGGCTCCAGGCTGCTGGAGCCTAATTTGTTTGCTGGGTTTTTCTCCAGTGGGGGAAGCCGCGCGCGGATCTGCACCGGGGCGAGGTGAATGGCTACTCTCAGCTCCCGCCCGCCGGCCGCCGGGGAGCCGGGCAAGGAGGACGCAGTAGCCGGGTGCCTCCCTCCCGGCATCTCCCCTGCGAGAAAGGAGGGCACCCCACCTGGGGGAAGGTATCCGTACAGAGCTGTGGATAATGGGCCCTGAGCACCTGGCACTCTGCCTGGCGAGCTGTTAATAATCTGGAGATGATGGTTGACACTGCTCCCCACATCAGCGTGGCAAGGAATGCCTTGTTCCCGAGCACACGCCAGGCCCAGGGGTTCCATGCTGGCATGCTGGGCTGGCTCCGAGCCCCCCGCCCGCCTCCCCCACCGCCAGTGCAGGGATGGTGAGAGGCACCCCCGTTCTCTCTGCTAGAGGGGGACTCCTGCCCTGCCCTGCTTGGAGAAGGAAAGAGCTTTAGGCTCAAAGCGGGTCTATCTTTGCCCCCTCCCCGCTGCCCCAAAGGCCCCCCTCCCCCAGTTCTAGAGGCTGCTTCTCTCTGCACCCAGGTTCTTTGTCAGCAAACAGGGGGATGGAGTGGGCTCTGTAAGGATTCCACGGGCACCTGGTGGGTTTCCTATACGTGTCCCCTTCTCCACGGGGTCCACCAGCCTCTCCCCCACCCTGAGACACTCAGACCCTCATGATTATTTCAGTGGAAACAGATGCCCACTTTGGGTCATCAGGAAAGCAGCCCTGCAGGTGGGTCCAGGGTAGCTAGTGCCCTGTGTCCCCTTGGGGGGCGCTGGGGCATGGAGGGGGTTCAGAGCAAAGAGCATCCCACTGGAGAACCGTTGACATCCTGGCAGGGCAGAGTTTAATAAAGTGGCCACCATAATCCTCATGTCCTGTCTGCAAGCCATGGGTGCGGATTGTTTTGGGAATTTGGACAGGCAGTGGGGATGAGGGGGTGGGTGGAGGAGAAAGCTGAGATTCGGAGGTGGAGCAGTTAGCATGGCCAGCTCCCCTCTGAGAGGGGCTGGTGCTC